AACTTCACCAGAAAGCCCAGGAATGTAAAGTAAGTTAACGCTGACAGAACCGTTTTCTGCTGACATAAATCTAAGTATTATGATCTTCCTATATTTTTTAATCGTTCCTGTGAATTTGCATATTTTACTCTGGATCATGTTAATATTTCAAATGAATCTTATCATTTGCTCTCCAGAAGGAAGGCAGTATGATTTTGCTGTCTAGATTTCATAGTATGTTTCATCTCATAACCTGATTTGCTTTGAGATAGATGCGGCAGCAGGCTGTAGCTACTGCGTCGTTAGCTGAGTGTTTCTTAGTTCACTACAGATCCTTTACGGCTGACATGATGGCGGGCAAAAATATATTTCACCCTGCTTAGAGCAGACGTTTGTTCATGTACGTCGATCTTCTACTCTTGTGGACATGTAAAGCGAAGCAGAATTTATGGGAGAACGATAGTACTGCACTTCTCTACTTTTCTCATATCATACCCTTATTTCTCTTTGAAAGAATGCCTATGTAGCCCAACCCCTCCTAGGATGCTAATCAAATTATGGTTTTGCTGGACAGATTTGCCTTGTGTATAACGAGGTTCGTTATCCACAGGATACCGGTATAGTGTTAGCGGTTTTTTTTGAGTGTGCTTTGTGTGTTTCTTTCACAGATCGACCTGTCTATTTCGATGTTAGGGATAATTACGTATTTAGGTCGTTGCTCGATTTCCGCACGGTCGGTTGCGACGTAAAATTTATGAAGAGTAATTGTATTCGAATACCATTTACACATGCTTATGCAGCTTTTTGCGGTTACCACATGATGAGGCTGTTTTGGTTCTGACGTTTGAATGAAGCAAAGTATTAGCTCTAGCTGAACTCAACAGAAATTTAGTTGTGCTTAGATTCCGTTTTATTTTGCTATTTGTATGTTATTTCGTAGCAGAGCGAAACACCGCTTGTTGGCTTTCTAAGCCGAGAATGCGTCGTTGCGTTGTACGATTACACGGAGAAGTCGCCACGAGAGATATCCATGAAGAAAGGCGACATGCTGAATCTGCTGAACAGTTCCAATAAGGTGAGTTACAGGGAAGTGTCGTAAATTTATTCGCCATCGAAAACCAAAGTATAAATCATTGTCTTTGCTTTCATGGACATAAAATTTTATTAAATATAAATATATGAATTTATATATTTGCGGCTTTCATTTTTTGGGTACGATTATTTCATTAACTGAACAAGGGCACATTAACGCTGTTTGTTAAATGCCCCCATCGAATCTCTGGCTGACGTTTCGTGATCTCTGGCCCATGACGATAGCAGACCGAAATTATTGCTCGATACAATTATCGTCTCATTTACACTTAGGCAGAATTTTATTTCTTGCT